AAAAAAAATTATGATTAAAAGAAAAAATTATTTTTCTTTATTTAAATCAAAAATCAAAAATAGATAAAAATAGCCATTGGTCATTCAATCGGTCATCTATTGTCCATTTTTCGGAACAAGGTGATCAATCAAAAAAGGTAAGAGAAAAATCTCACCTATTTTTTACATTCAACTATGACTCGAATATCTCATTTTTTCGGTAAAATTATTTATATGAACAAATTATTTTTTTTTGATTATTTTGAGTCCTTTTTCTATTAGTGTATATAATATGTATATCAATATCGTTAATAAATGCCGAAACAATACCACGATTTGATATGCGAGATAAAGATGGAATTATATTTGATCCAATAGCACCACGTGCTGGTGAAAGATTGGTTGCAACATGTACATTAGTTGGTTTGACACCTAATGATAAACGTCATGTAGGTTATTTTCAATGTTTATATTTATTCATTGTAAAAAAAAAAAATTCTAACAGAAAGTTTTTCAAGATTTTAATTAAACTTGTTTATTGGTACTCAAAAACATTCAAAGTAATGAAGACATCAATATATCAAAAAAAAACAATAATATTTTCTTCATCTAGTCGTTTAAAACGGAAGGAAGAACATAAACCATTCATTATTTTTCTTTTGATTATCGTTCTGTTTATTAAAGATAAAACAAGCTCTCATTAGAGATAGATGATTCCGAATCAGGATCATCAACACTAATTTTGATTACAATGTTTAATACGACCATACTTCCGATTCTACATAGAGAAAAAAAAACTAGGAACCAAACACACGAGTAATAATTTCTTGTATAAGATGTATTCAAGGGTATATTCGATCAGGCTGAAATTTTTAACACAGATTAGGACACTTGAAATAAGAAGATATGTGTTCGATGAAAAAAAATTTAAGAAAAAGTTTTGTGGGAAAATTCTGACTTTCTGTGGGATCGTGTTCTGGTGCATTAAGATCCCGATTAGAGTCCATCAAGTTCAAAATTTTTGAATTCGGGACCTCCTCGATAGACTCTAACTCCCATCAAGTTTTGTCTAACTGGACTGAAAATTTTTTTCGAGATACTTGAGACTATATCTCACAGGTAGTTTTGAGCTTTCGCTGAAATCTCATTTTCTACTTTTTCTTATGAGAAAAATATGTGAAGATTCGGGTCGAAACTTGAAAACGACTGATTCTACCTCAAGATAATGCTTTTAAGTATTTATAATAAAAATTTCAGCCCGATCGGACAAAATTTTTCTTCGAACACGTGTCTCTTTATTTTAGGTCTTCTATCCAAGGAGGAAGCAACGTACTTCCCTATACTGAGAGTGGAGTATAGTAAGAGAACCATGGAAGAAGGAGAGTCTGTCGGTATCTTCTTGAATTTAGTTATAGATTTTTCTTAGCTATAAAACTGTATTCCGGAGAGCACGGAAGGATGTCGTTTCCTCCTTGACTCTATCTGTAGTAAAAAATTTCGACCTGATCGATTTTATTCTCTTCGAGAACCAGAACAAGTCAAAAAAATAGAAGAGAATACCATTAAGTCAATTTGATCTAAACACACTTTTTAATTGTCAGATAGGCAGTTTCGATACTAAATAATGTTGACTTTACATATATCTAGTTCTCATATGATGTATTTTTATTTTTCGATGTAAAACATCGTTCTATTTGAAATATTGTG